ACTTGGCTACCTCAGAGAAAAGGTGATGCCCCAGCCCTGTGAAGCAATCAGAGGTAATCCATCGGGTGATACCTGACGGTCTGCTGGCACCAGCCCCTCTCACTGATCTTTGGTTAAAGGGAGAAGGCCTTTCCTGGATTTAGGCTCCACTACATGCCCTGGTATTACCACCAGGAGTTGTTACCTGCCTATCGTCACTACACCGCACACTTCATAACTCCCTGTACCAAATCCTACCTCCCGCTTCCCAGCCTGTCCTGGGATGAAATGCTGGAAAAACCATTTGCCAGTCAGTTCAGGAAGTCTTTAAACATCAAAAAAGAAAGATTCAAGGAATAGGATTTTTTTCTTTTACCCTCTCAGCGCCTACATTTCTGGTTTGGGTTTTGGTTTATTTTATCCATTGGAAGCTGAGGACACCACCTCTCACCTCTCCGGCAGTGAGGCCAGTCCAGCTCAGGCACTGAACAGCATCTGATTCTGAGAACTACACATCAAATCCTGCAGGAGAATTTCCCACGTTCAGTTGGCAACTGTGAAAGTTCAGGGGTTTATACTCAAAATTCAAGGTACCTGCAGTAGTAGCTATGTTTAGGTATAAAAAGCTGGATTGTGACAGTGCATTAACAGGCAAGTATGGAATAACTTAAAAACAGCAGTGTTGGCTTTTCCCCTTGATTGGAAAATCAGCGAATAATCAGCAATAATACTTGTCTCAGGTATGCTACCTGTGTGTAAATACATCAGATGAGCATGTCACTGTGAGAAATACACCAGGGAATCTCACCCTATCACTGCCCTGACGTGGAGCATCCATAAGCCCCTCTCTGTCCCCATCAGCCAAGCCATGTGCAGAAGGGGCAGTCCGATCCACACTGCAGCTCCAAACAGACCTTATTACGCACCACACGCAGTCCAAACCTCCTTCCCCTCCCCTTCCACTCTGTGTCCTTCTGTATTGTTGATGGCAATAGAGAAGCTGCTTTCTTACCTCATCTGAAGTAGCTGAGAGACAGCAGCAGCAAAGGACGGGCATGTCAGTCTACAAAACAACCCCACGAAAGGGGGATGTCAGAGGAGAGCGTCTGACTGGGACCTTCCAAAAACCTTCTTGCACCACAAGAAAACAACAGCAACCCAATTGCAAAACAACTGCAGCCCAGGAGTCAGGACTTCGTGTCATGGCATGAAGGACTTCCCATGCCAGGGACTTCCCAGTGCAAATGTTCCCTTGCCCCAGTATTCACTGGCAGTGTTTCTTGTTAAATCTGTGTTTTCCTGTCGGCGATGCAATGGTGTTTGACAAGGCGGCTGCTTTCCCTCTGTAAATAAACCTGGGATTATCAAGCCAATGCTGTGCCCTGGGTTTCCTCCCAGCACTCCTTCCCCGTTCTTCTGGGATGGGGAGAGGCCGAGGCCATGCAGATTAGTGCCAGCACCAGGAGGAACAAGGGATAAACCCCATTTCCCTGCACTGTGAGCAGGCATCCTCATGAACACATGGAGCTGCACCTACACCAGAACATTTTACTGTGCCATGAAAGCTGGAGGATCAGGACTGGATGTTGACACAAGCAATGCTCCCTTTTGGTTCTTGTGATTGCTTCCATACTGTGTTTGGCTGCTTCTCTTATCTGACATGTCACAGCAGGAAGATAATTCTGTATAACCCATCTCACACTGTGTTTCACCACTCGTCGTCTCTTATCTCTGCGGCCTTAATTTGTGTGAGCGTTTCTGATTCCACGCTGCACATGCTGATTGGGCAATTTCTAATACATATTCTATTAACCTGGGTAAAATTCAGCCTTCCCCCTACAGACTAAGAGCGAGCTGGTGTTTAATCAACACAGCAACACAGGGAGCACACCTGAAGGGGTAAATTTGTCAGTGTAAGTAGTGACCTGTAGCAGCAGTGCCAGAACTTAGATCCTCCTTGAGACAAAACAAAAGCTAGAAGGATTAGCATCTCCCCCTTGGCTCTCAAAGTAGCCTTTAATTGTTGGATGGCTCCTGTAATACAGTTGGACAACCCGCTCCCAGCCAATACGAGTCAGAGACACAGATTCATAAAATCTTTCTGCATCTCATAAAATGCAATTGCTAAATTGGAAATTCAGATCTTCCACGTACTTGGCTGAATGGAAACGGAGACTCCAAATTGCTTATTATTAACCACAATGTGCTGGGCTCGCTTTGGTTTTTCCCCCAAACCCTTTTTTCCCACTCCTGCTATGAGATCTTTTCTCTTTTTCATACCAGCCTTTCAACCACGAATCCCAAGTCATGGTCAGATTCTTGTTTCAGTCTCAGGGCCCCTGCACATTCCCTTACTCATATAAAATGGTGCAATTAATTTATTGCAGTCTCGCCACAGTTGTTTTATTCATCATCACTGTAAGGCTCCTGTGAAGTGTGCCCAGGAGAGGTAATATCATTTTAACTAAACTGTCCTGATGAAAGCAAGCTGAGAACCAAGGGAGAAACAGGAAGATTATATACCTGGAGTGTGTTTCTGAGACAATATTTCTTCCAATGAAACATTATTTCATATGGTAATGAGTATACAGCCTGTTCAGTGAAGAAGCCACACAGTAAACAGATGTGGGAAAAGTCAGAGAGAAAAAACAACAGAATTAAGCTAAGTGAGCTATGGCAAATTCATCAAGAGATCCACTCTTACCCCATGTACGGACCTGGGATGAAAATGTAACTGTCTTGCAATGTGTGTGTATCAAAAAGGAAATGATCACAGCTATTTCACAGGTGGCAAAAGCCAGATGTGATGGATGTTGAAGAATGTAGTGCCCCTAGTCAAAGGGACAGGATAAGATCAGAGGGAAGAGAATCATCTGCCCACAGGAAAAAGGCAGATCTGGGTCCTGGTGTTCTCCCACATTGATTTTATTATGATCAGTTCTGATTTGCAGTGATCAATGACCAATTTGTAACGATCAGATAAGGCACCTGATGGGTACTGGCTATTCATGATGCTACCTAAGGATTTACAGGGAAAAAAAGACAGATCACCTTACAAATCAGCAGTTAGAGCAAGCTGCCATGAGGTTAGTTAGCCTTCTTCATGAACCTGAGCTACGTTTTGATTTACTTTGATTAAGATTGCTGGTAGAAACCTTGACACATGTAATCGGGTTTTATAGGCTAAAGGCATGCACCTATTTGACTCCCACTATCTAAAATGGTACGTGTGAGTCTAAACCACAGTCTAGAACCTGTCTCACTCAATGCTTGCTCAATGCCAGCTTGAAGTGCTGAAACAGACTCTCCATATTTTTTGTTCTTATTATTTTCAGTGAATACCTGCAATCCTCTGAAGTCACATTAGCCTGGCACTGACAAACAGGCATCAACCTGCTTCCAGTCTATCTCTGTAGCCCATCACTTTGGTTTACAGCTCTTTCTAACGCCTAAAAGGGTCTGCACATGAAGAAGTAAAGCACAAACAAGCAGCAGAGATCCAAACCTGGCCTGTCTCACTATGACATAGCGCCATGAGGTTCCCAGACTGCTGCTAAGAAAACACAGCTCATACGCACGGTGCCCCTGCCCAGCTGTGCTGCATCTGCCAGGCGATGTTGAAACCGGGCCTCCCTGGCGCTGCCTTTATTTACCACAGTGGCACTGACTTCATGCGCCGCGGCCCTTTCCATTTGGGTTGCCTCAGCCAAGGTCATCATTGCGTAAAGCATGAGCCCGCAAATAGCAATTTCTTGCTATTTCTGAGGAGAATTACTAGTTGTGTTTGCATCGAGGACTGTGAGGAATCCCTGCTACACTTGGGACGTGGCAGAGCTCACTTACTCAGAATTTCTTGGATTCAGCAGGACCAAAGTGAAAAAAAAAGAGTTAGATGAGTCACTGCTGAGTGCAAATGTACTCTGTAGCTCCTCATGGAAATAAAGCTTTCTGAAAAGTCATATGATGTGCTTCTATATATACTTGTTCTATACACTGATACAGACGTGAGAACGTACACAAACACATGGAGATTCAGGTATGCATTCACCCAGAAATATTTGTCTATGCACATACACCACCACATTCTGAATGGAGGGGAGCATGCATGCCTAGGGCATAAGCCTTACATCTACTGAAGGAACTGTACAACATACCACTACTCGCCTCTTGTGCCTGCTTTGCTAAAGGAATAACACTTTAGGAGAATAAGTTACCATGAAGAAATGATTCTCTGTATAAAATCAGAGGCATCTCACTCCAGATTAAAAGTATGTCAATGGCCGGCTCCTGTTGAAGTCACAAGCCAGATGTTCTGCTCATCTGCTGTCACATGCCCAGGACAATGCAGAATCTCTGAGACATTTCCTAAGTGTGAACTACTGACTTCAAAGTAATATTCCTTTCACTCATGGTTTTACTTTGGATTTCCCCCTTCCAGACAGTCAGGTAATACAGAATCACAGGGGGGGAAATGGAAATGCCCTATGGATGAGAAATACAAATTGAAGATTTTATTACTAGTAGGACTATTTCTTTATTCCTGGGCTGGCCTAGGTACCACAATATCTGTCTGCAAGCATCTCACTTGGAAAATACCCTGCATCCACACTGCATAAGGGAGCACATGGAGCACATGGCCGGTAATCAAGATAGGTAAGTTAACACTGATCCTCTAACTAATTGCCTAATGGAGTTAATCTGTTCAACAATTAATTTCAGCTGAAGAGGTTGTCTCTTTCTTATGCTTGATCTTATTCTGGCTGTTCTGACCCAGAAGGTACAAGGTGGCTGGATAGGGAGCACAAAACCAATCACAGAAACAAGAGGATCCCACCTCCAGCGTGATTTGATTTCTCCTCCTTTGCTGTGTCTAATTAAGGTTTTACAAGATGCTGCAAGCCCTGGTCTCTCTCCACCCCCTAAGAAACCCCCTCCTGCATGGTCACCACATGACAAAGAGACACCCCCATATAAAACACAGCTGCAAACTATACAGACAATTTACAGGTCTCCGAGATCATATTTATGCAGAGGTCCTGCAGCAGGGAGATCCTGAATGTTGGACCCTGTCGGTGGAACGTCATTAATCAGAGGATAATGGACAGGAAGGTGGGTGGCTGCTGATAGTTTTGGCTCATTTAAGACGGTTTTGGGAGGCTGCCAGATTGTGTGGAGGATTTTTGAACTGGTTTAAACAATATGGTCTTTACAATGCTATAAAATACCAGGGTGGCTCGAGTGGGTTTCGAACTGGCTCCTGGCCAGGGAAATCTCAGGATTCCAGTCAGCTGTAACCTGGACTCAGATGTATGTCTGGGGTGGCTGAGGTCACCGGCACCCCTTGCACCCTCCCTCCTCTACCATAAAGTAGATGATGTCCATAGCATGAAACCTTAAAGCTTCTAGCTCATCTCTTCATGGCTTTGCTGCTTCAGCTATTTCCCCTTTGTAATTTATAGAGATGCTTTTCCCTTCAATCAAGTACTGAAATAGTGCACTGATGATCAGGTAGGGCTGAATCTCCCATTGTATTTCATCTGTCTTGCCACAAATAGAAACACTGTGCTATGAAGGACAGATGCCTGCACAGACATACAGAGTGTGATGCTGCACTTGGCTTCAGTAACATGCAAAAAGGAGCCTTAACCTGGATGAGAATCAGGTCTGCGGTCATTTTAGATTAAAATGTATTAATGGATAGTTAATTACTTGCTAATGTAAGTAACTGCACCATGTTTACAATAAGCAAAGCCACAGCCAGAATCACAATGTTAGTAACTATTGGGCTTGTTTCTGCCAGTACCACTCCACTGCACAAAGTGAACTAATTGTATTCACATGAACACCATAAGTCACAGACCAGGCTCCTTATTCTTATCCACAGGAGGTAGCTGCACTTTCACTAAAATTAGGGAAACTTTTCTGAGCTCTCTTGAGAGCTGTAACACTGAACTCTTTCAGCTTTTTAAGAGTAAGAGTTTCCCATGCTGGTAAAAGCGATATTATTTGATTTTATTAATTTAATATTTTGGGGTTTTATCATATTTTAGTCAAATATCATCCTGATTTTTTTATTACTTCTGCTACAGAAAATTATTCCTGTGCCAAATGAGACACAGCTCAGGCTGCTTTATTTATAGGAAAGTAAAACCTAAACCTGAAGCTATCTTTTCCTCCCTTCTGTGTTTCCATAAACATGATTTCTCCCAATAGAAAAAACAGCTGAAGTAACTTGTCATAATATCATTCATCAAAAGGAGTCTGATAATCCCAGCCACTTGAAGCCACGTTTGCAAGCAAAACACACTAAATGGAAACAGAACACTCTAAGAATTAAGCAGTTTGCATTGCTTATCCTTCATATGGTTAGAAAAGAGACTGTCATGTTGTAAGGCTCTTGGTATGTCATGATGCCTCCTTTGCCTGTATATCCATAATGAGCTATGGAAGCACAAGGCTGTCATTCCAGCCTCACCTATGTGACACTACGTAAGGGAAATGCCACATCTGGAGGAGTTTCACTGTTCTTCAGGATGGAACAGACCTCCTAGACAAGCCCATCTTCTTGCCAAGCTCCTTCTTTCTCCATGTGATTGTGTAGCAGATTATTTATCACTTGAGCACATGGCAGATGTCAGGGACATGGTTTCTCTTCCCAACAGATTTGGATTGATCCATTAAATAAAACCCTGCTGTAACCAAAGAAATTAAAAGCCATTAGCAGTCGCAATGGTGAGGACTAACAAGCACCCAGTGGTGTCCAAATAAAATAAACAGATATGAAATCAAATCAGGCAAGATTGTATTCTGGATGTTACTGTAATGCCTGCTTGGAGTCAGATGTATGCTTTCATAACTTAAGGGTTCAAGCTCTTCTTTCCAACTACTTGTTGTGCCATTTCAGGAAGCTTATTGGGGAGGTTATTTTTGTGGGATCATGGGATGGTTTGAGTTGGAAGGCACCTTAAAGATAACCTAGCTCCAATCCCCTGCTGGGTAGGGGCACTTTGCACTAGACCAGGCTGCTTCAAGCCCCATCCAACCTGGCACACTTTCACACTTGCTTTTACTACACAAACCTCGGGAGAAAACCACCATTATCTTAGGCCTCTCTTTCACAAGAGGTGATCATACAAGTTAAGAGAGGAAAACATTTTGGAGGTCTAAAGAAACAGGAGGGAAGTAGAAGAGAAGGGGGCTCCCTGTGTGTCTCTGGTGAATAGCCCCACTCCCGTTGCCCAGCCAAATGGTTTAAACAACAGGCATTAGCCTTAAACCTGCCTTTTACTCAGCTCTAAAGTTGCCAAGGCAGTTTTCCTGATATCCCTACAGTGTATCTCAGCCTTTAAAGCCTCATGCTCACTTCATTAGCTTTTCAATGACTGCTGCATGTCTCTGAAGTTATAAAGTCTTTTTGTTAATAAAAATTATACTGTGATTATATAGTAGCTTAAAAAGCAGTAACATTAGAAGTCTTTTCAATATTCCCATAATACTAAAATAATATATATGTTATTTTGAATTCCCAGAAATACAATCTTTTCTTGGAAGTAAACTCATGGTACATAATCACATGCTCCTCCCCGCCACTGAATGCACTCCACCTCTGATTCACATTTATGTTGTGAGTGGCTTTTAATGACAGAACAGGGGAATATATTGTGGTTTCACACATACACAGATTTTACGGTCACTTATTCCTAACTAGGAGATAGAGAGACATAGCAGAGAAGTATTCTTTCTTTCTTCTAAGCTACTTCACCTTGGAGTACAGGAGGTGGTTCCCTGTGTTGTAACGTAATATCTCAGAACCAGTTTTATATCAAGAAGGACAGAGGTGAAACAAGTAATCCTGGGGGCTAGATGATGGGGAACTGCTTTAGGAGAATTCATTTCAGCCCTAATACCTGTGATTTGGGGTAATTGAACACTGGGTTTATTTCCTCCCCACAATAATTCATCAGATTACCTCTTCTCATTGGGCCTGAATGCCATGATGTTACCTCATTGTGTGTGTGCAAGTGTAAATCAGCCTGCATGTTCCTGAGTGGGAAAGGGGACTGCTCCCACCCTTTGGTGCTTCCTATCCATTACACTGTGCTTGGAAAATCCTTCTGCCCTTAGGTGGACAATGGAGATGGAAAGAGTTGCTTGCAAGTGTAGCTTAATTAACCTTATTGTAGATCGCTTAAATTCAAGGAAGCAAGTATTATCTTAGCTCACCTTCCCTTTTTAGTTCTTGGTGGTAGTTGAAAGCCTATTTCAGATTTGAAATATGTATGTTTTCATGTGATGTATGAAAGGTAAAGACTTAAATATATAATCTGCTTCCTATCAAGCTGCACGGACTGTTCTTCTGCACATAGAATGCCTTGTTGTTGCAAGTCCCGCTTTCTATAGCAGCATCAGCTCCTTTCAGCCAGGGGATGAGTAATACTGAAGCAACATGATAACATAGTGATAAATGACAAGCTATTAGAAGGCAGAGCAGGTCATCAATGAGTAGATAAGAAACATACACTTTCCAAATACTTATCCCACTTGATTCCTCTTCCTCTTAGCAAGTTCAACCTGACACAGAGATGTTCAACCTTTCTGCCTTTATTAGAAGCAATAAAGCACTTAAGCTTATGGTCTTCTGCACCCAGTGGACTTAAAGTAAATGGCTTGTGTTAGGTTTATATTCAAGTGCTTCCCATGTGAAAGTTCATTGACTAAACTTTAGCTTTATTCCACGTGTAAAATGTGCCTCATTTTACACAGCCAAACTTGAAAAGATTGGTCCAAATATATTGTTGAGTTACTTAAGTCTCTTAAGTGAAGACTTAAGTTCTTTCCATGCCCTGCCTGACACTACTATTTGACAGGAATTTGCCTTAGAAATGGCAGTGAAAAACACAGCTTTGCAGTAAACACAACCTCATTTGGTGCTGCTTTTGATTGGCATTTCACATTTTCTTTAACCAGGATATTAGTAGCTCCTTTACAAGCTGCAAAAATAAACAAGGAAAAGTAAATGCAAGCCTTTGTTTGGGAATTTTTTCCCTTTTTTTTTCTTTGGGCTTCCATCTGAATGCATGTGCCTGTCTGGGGTGAATCAAGGCTGATCCCGGTGCAAAGCTATTCTCCAACAGATAGCTAAGCTGCTTGAACAAATGGTTCGTGTTAGCTAGAGAAAGACACTGAATCTAAACCATGTGCTTCTGGGTCTTGTGGTTTCAAATTGAACCACAAACACTCAGGCAAGCTGTCAGTCTCTATTCACAATTTCAACCAACCCTGCAGAAGAAAAGGGGGGTCTTTGCCCACCAATCATGTTTTTAACCCTTCTGTGATTAGTGGGGTGGCTTTCATGCTTTGCATTCGAGAGGCATGCTGCTGTTTAGAAGAAGTAGACTAGTGACCTGGGAAGGAAAGAAAGAAAGGCAAACACTTGATGTGATGGGGGTGAAAATAAAGATGTTTAGAATCCTGCAAGGTTGGGCTCCAAGGGATCTCATGAAATCAGCCAGTCCAAAACCTTTCCAAGAGATAGATCACACTAAACTAAGCCATCACTGGCAGGTGTCTCATTCATTCCATGGGAGCCTTCACAAAGCATCTTAGAACTGCTTCTTTACAGAAGAGCTAATTTATAACATGCTAGAGTTCTGCCATTCTTGGTAAGCAGCTCTGAAAGTGCTGTTGTAGCAGACAGTCACCTCTGAGAGTGCACTTGGGACATTCTGCATCAGAGGAAAGTGATGCTACCACCTGAACTAAAGAAATCACCTCTGTGGACTTGGCCTGTGTTTAATGCTCTGGACCAGAACACTGCAGTACGTGGGTTTGAAGCAAATATCTGCTCCCATGCACTACTTCTTGGTTTAGACCACCCAACAGTGAGCTTAGAGGGTGCCATAGCCATACTCCTTCCATTCCTTATTGCTTTGTCAAAAGAAGTCAGACTGCCACGTAACCCAGTATGCTCAATCTCAGCCTTTGAGACAGCTCAGGCAAGAAATCCAAGCGAGGCATCTAAGAGAAGATGCCTGTGTATGCTGGAGGGCATTATAAGAGGCAGCTATTTGCAGGTTCCTTCTGGGGTTTTTTCCAGCATGTAGGTGACT